TTGCCTTATTTAGAAGACATCTTGCTATACTTCTCTTTGATACACGGCTCTTCTGTCAACAATGACAAGGGTACCAGCAAGAGCAAATAGAAAGAATCGGAAGATTAGACACATGCGGAGAAGTGAAGCCTAAATTACTTTCCTAGATGAAAATTCGATGACAGTATAGATTCGGGAGTGAATCCCTTTAGGCTCAGTTCTGCAAGCTTTATTGACGCTTCTTTTATTAAAACATTTGTATGAGTCCTTTTTAGCAATTTTGGACTGAAGCTGATTTTCATTTGTCATCATGTTTACTTTTTTAATAGTAACTTATTGCCTAGAACAAACATTTTAGCTAATTATTGATTTATGTCACTGTTTGGTACATATTTTTTGATTTACGTCGCTGCTTTCGTAAAAGTTTTTTGTACTCTTGTGGGTGGTAAGTTTGTAAGGATTTTAAGTTTTACTAACGTTTATTTTATTTCAAAACTTTGCTATCCTCCGTTATTTTCCATTTCCGGCTAGAAGAAGAATGAGTAGATTTGTCTATGCAAATGAGGTTGTAAACTGTATAAGTACTTAAGATATGGCTTTTAGCCAAAAGAGAGGGAGAGAGCGACTTCTCGTGGTATATAATGTATAAGTAGGCTTAGTTTTAAATACAAAGTAGGCTTAAACAAACGTAAAATATATCTATGTTATATTTTATTTTACTTGTGCTTTCATATTGATATTTATTCTCGTATATTTTGCAATAGACTTCACTAAATATTAAAGAGATAAACCCTTCCACTTCGTAAAGTTACACTTTAAAAAAATAAAACAACAGACGGATGTTCTAGAAATTTTATACAATCAAATATTGTTATATTCACTTTTAAAATTTTATTCACAGGATGTTGTTTTAGCAATCTAAACAAAAAGTAATGATAAAAACGTTTTAAAAATTCTAAAAATATAATTAATCTCGGGCGTTTCAATATTAATGCTACTTATTTTCGAATAGCTTATTGCATATACTTTGATAGTTTAACTTCTACTTCATCACAAAGTATTTGTCTCTAAGTAAGTATTTATCATGTTTCGCTTTTAAAGCACTTTTTTTTGTTTCGTATGAAAGTTTTGTTTTATAATAATTGTTGCAAGTAACAACAAATTATGATCAGAAAAATATTTGACAAGGCGTGCAAAAACAACTTTTCTGTGATCTTTTCGTCACGTCATTAAAGACTTTAAAAAACGAAATTATAGAAAACTTGATATATATTTCATACGCAAAGTTTCCGAATGCGTTCGAGATTTTAATTAAGCATTGTTTGAGGGATTTTTTCAGCTTGAAATCAGTTTCTCAAAATAAGTGACATTTTATTCAATTCTTAAGATTAGGAAAATATTCTTTCAGGTAGCGATTCTGTTAGACATCGCATGCCTAACTCATCATTAAGAATAGCAACTTCGTTTAATGCAAAACTTTTAAATTAGCTAAAAAAAGTGAATCTTTAGACGAATTCATTGAAATAAATGTAAATCTTGTTAATAATTATCCAACAATTAGAAGAACCACTTAGATTTTAACATTGGTCCAAAGAAACATCAAGTTAAATAAAGCTATGAAGTTAAAGCCTAATAATAAATATATTACCATTAAACGAAAAAAGAATAAACACAACGTTACTACAAAATTATTTTATTTTTGGAAAACCACTTGTTACGGTTACATACTGATTCACTTAATAATTGTAGGATATTTTTATATAGGCTTGCTTTGTAACAGCCCTATATAAAAAACAGCCTGCATTTAGTTTTCTATTAATCTGCATATGTACCAGATAATATGCGCTTATATACTTTCGAATGAACTGAGATGAATGTGCCTGCTGTGGATTCAATGTAAAATATTTTAAGCCAACGAAAATGTCATATGCATTCCAGTAAATTATTTTGATAGTTTCTTAAAAATATATAGTAATGCTGTTTTGTACTTTTTGTGTTATTTAAATAAAAATATGATGTGTACACCACATGACTTCCTTGTACGGAATATTAAATTATACGCATTTTTTCTTGCATTTCATTTAAACTTATAGGATTGAATTAAATCTACTTCACCGACAGCGCATAAACCACAATAGGACAAACGCATTCTTTAAATTTCACTCTATTTGTTTACCATAGCGACAATCTGGCACTATGTTCACTTAACAGTATTATATTTCGTTCATATTCTAACTCAGAATGCACAAAAGTTATATCATTTTAAGGATTATCTAATCGTTGCCACATGTTCTATTCAAATACTATAATAAAGCTAGAATGATGTATAAAAGAAATTTAGCAAACAAAACAAAAAAGAAAACAGTTTTTCACAGACGATTGAGTATTTCTCATTGAATTAATTCAGTTCTCACTTCGCGACAAGGAAAAAAAAAAAAGAAAAAAGAAAAAAGAACCCTCAAAATATCTGTATTAAAATTTACGAAGTAAAATCTTAAACACTTACTTCCTCGAAAAAATTCCAGAAAGGATTAAGCATGATTCATTTATATGAAGGCGTTATCTTTCCTGCTACGAAGCTAAGTTTCTCTAGATTGGCAACAAATTCACGATCCTGCTGTTTAAAATGTAAACAAGCAATGATCGCTATCAAAAAAGTTATTAGGCTTAGCAGCACCTAAGTAACTCTAAAATTGTTGATAATTCTAAAAATATTGCATACAGATTTATTAAAGGCATAAAAACCTTAACCGGAAGATAAGAACAACATAATTCAATCATTTTTAAAGAAAAAAATGTACAATTTACAAACATATAAGAGTAAAGAAACTGAGATCACTGAGCCGGGTAACAGAGTGGATATATGTATAAATATATTTATATATTTATATATACGTTTGGCGAGGCCGATTGAAACCAAAATACGATGTACACATCTACATGTTATAGTAGTCCTATATACAAAATTTCAACGTTCTGAGGCTACTCGTTTTTGAGTTATGCGAGATACGTACGTACATACGTTCGTACAGACGCCATGGAAAATTCTATTCAGAATTCATTTAAAGCAGTTTTATAATTTTTTTGGAGGAAAAGAGTCTTATTCTCTCCTTCGCACAGATATCACGCAAAAACATAGTTACATTGCATTCGATAGCGGTCGAAATGAGTATTTTCGTTGAAATATGCTGCCTGAAACTTTCGCGATTACAATACTTCCTTTTTACTTCGTACAAGGAAGTAAGAAAAAGAATATATTTACCGGCAAGTTTTAATTTAAGTAATTTCCAAAGATGAACAGTCATCCGTATCATTGGAATCCAGGTATCTGGACTGTGGATAATTGGAGTTTTACGGATTTCTGGGATTCATTGTTCGTTATAGTAAAGATAATTGATTTATTCATGGCGTCTGTACGTACGTAAGTAAGTATCCCGCATAACTCAAAAACGAGTAGCCTTTGAACGTTGAAAGTTTGTGTATAGGACTGCTTTAACATGTAGATGTGCACCTCCCATTTTTGTTCCAATGGGACGTCCCAAACGTATATAAATTTATGCAAATTTATGTATATAATTGTTTTTCTCTTCCGGTTGAGGTTTTTATGCCTTTTTATGCCGTTAACCTGCATGCAATAATCGTGGCATTATACGCAATTTAAATGTTTTTTAAGTGAGGCTAAGCCTAATTTTTGGTTACTATTGCAGCCGTATTTGTTTACATTTGAAACTTAGCAGAATATTGGATTTAATTTCCCAATGTAGGGAAACTAAGCTTCGCAACAAAAAACTAACGTCTTCTTTTATTATTGCGAATTAAATTATGCTTAATTCATTCTGGAATTATCATTTAAATGATTAGCTTATTTTTGCGTTGAAACTGTAATTTTAATTGTAAAAATTGTTTCTTTAATTGTTTTAACTGTACTTGGTGTTTTATGGCTTTCTATATCTTTCAAATTTTAAAATTAAATAATAATTATTTAATTTTTTTTTCAAATTTTCTATATCTTTCAATTTTTTTAATTTTTTTCAAATTAAATTTAATTTTAATTTTAATTTTTAATAATTTTCAAATTTCAAATTTTAATGAAAATATTTTAAATTTTTATGTACTTTTGCCTTGCGGCGAAGTGACAACTGAATTAATTAGTTTAGATTGGTATTTGAATAGAACATGTGGTAATTCTTTAGATGATACAATTTTTGTGCCCTCTGAGTTATGAAATGAATGAGATGCAATGCTGTTAAGTGAACCTATGGTAAATAAATATCAGAAGTGTCGATATGGTAAATAAACATAGTGAACTTGAAGGAGTGCATTTATTCTATTGTAGTTTGTGCGCTATCGGCGAAGTAGATTTAATTCAAAATTTGGAAATGCAGGGAAAATTGCGTATAATTTAACATTCCGTACACCGAAGTCATGTGGTGTACACATCAGATTTTTTCTGATTAAAAAGGGAATTTCATGATTTAAACTTACTACAAAAGCCTAACGTCGAATCATAATCGAGAGAATGCTGTAAATAATTTACCTCAAAGTTGAAACAATATGGCAATTCAAAGAGTAATGATACCCAAAAGAGTTTCAGATGAAAACAAAAGAGAAAACAACTTTTTATTTTCCTGCACTTATCATAAAATTTATTTTTAACTCTCTGGAAATAAACTGCAGCTGGCATCTCAAGTGATGCCACATTTACGAGCGAAATCTCTGCCAGGAAAGAATAAAAATTCAAGAAGCACTCGGGGATTCGATGCTGAAAATCAATAAAATATTTTATAAGCCTTACAATGACTACAGATACGAGTGATGATTGCAACAGGGTGTTAGAAATCTTTGACTCCAGCTCAAAAGTGTTCTTTTCACGTGAAAGAAAAGAAAAATTTATTTATTGGATCAGAGATTCTCGTTTTAAACCTGAAATTAATGTGCCTCTCTTTTCTGTATATGCATATGAACATAGCAGTATGTAATCTAATTCCAAAATTAATGTTTTCCGTCTTTGTTGTACACAGGGTTCTGTCTCACAATCCCTTGACTGTTTTGTCGCCCGGTGCTTTCCTTGGATTGTATAATTTGGAAGAGTTGTAAGTTGCTCTTTTTTGTGAATATTTTGCCTAAAAGTAAAAAAAAAACTATTAATCTTCTGATATATATAAAATGGTTTAACCGTATCATGTACACTCCAAAAGAAAATGGCACAGTTCCTATATCTCCAGTTCTACTGGGCCGATTGACGAAATTCAACTTGCATTTTTCATGTCTCGAAAGTGTGACTTAGGATATGTATTAGATTTATATATAGCATTGTCCTAATATCGGTATTTTGACACAAAATCGGACTTTTTCTGAAATACCATACCAATTTTCCATATTTCAATTCACCGAAGCAGATTACGCCAAGCTACCAAGTTTTGTAAAAATTGCACGAGTACATTTTAAAAAATTAGCTCTCCAAATTTTAGCTCCTCAATTTTAATTGAGTTTGGTATATATTGATTAATCTCTCTTTTTTTATTAAACTTATTTGATTCCTCCTTTCACACTTCGAAATTCAGGTTCGTTCCAAATAAAACTATGAAATATTTTTTTCCGAAATATGAACAAAAATTGGTACGTCATTAAAAAAATGTCCGATTTTGTGTTAGAATACCTGTGTTAGAACAAAGCTGTTTATAAATTTAATCTGTGTCCAAAGTTGCGCTATGGAGACCTGAAAAACGCAAGTTAAATTTTGTTAGTTGGCTCAATAGAAAGAAATATATAGAACTCTTCCCCCTTTTTCCTGATTCAAGGTGCTCATATAGTTATTGGTGTTAATAACGTATTAGCGATTATTGTTTCAGTAAGCTTTAAAGTGTAATTAAAAAATTATATTAAACTTATTCTATTAAGTAGCGCAGAAAAAATTTTTGATTAAAATTAATTATAGCAAAAATGTAATTTTAAGGAGTATTATGAAAATGTAATAAAACCGTAATTCCTAAATAGTTCCATTTTTCCGTTAAAAAATTGGAATTCATGCGTTATTTATGAATATCGATGAATTATATGAGATTTTTGACTGTCTTAAGTCACAAGTGATTTATGACTTTTTACTGAATGAATTAATTCAAAGATAGAAGATTTTACAAATTTAATTTATTATCGAAGTATATACTATTCTTATAATTTTTTCGCCGCCTTGCTTATTACATTTGCATTATGTTGTAAATAAATATTCACATAGTTTTCAGAAAATATTGAAATTTCATATATTGTTTACTTTCTGTGAGTCAGTGTTTAGATAGAGCTATATTTTACATATTTTATGTAAACAGATTTTAAGATAACACTATTTTGAAGTCAGTTATGTGTATTTTATACCCAATACATATTTTAAATTAAAATTAATACATTTGTGTTATATATGCTGTGTCAATATAATCATTCCTCGGCTTTTATTTTCGCAACCGTTGCTCTAAAACAGAGTTTCTTACACTGTGATTCGCGATCCCTATGGGGATCACGGGACTTGCAGCAAGGGGTCGCCAAAAATTTTAACACTTATGATATTTCTTTAACTTACTATAATAATTTTACAATTACCAAATATTTTTACACAATGTATCTGCAAATAAAGATAAGACAATACAGACAAAGAAAAAAACGAAAACGATTCGACGCATTCTTTTGCTGGACACTGCTGGACATTGAAAATGCAACACCAAGAACGAATGGTCAGAAAATGCTGAAATTTGGAAAAACGACAGAGACAGCAAGCAGCAATAAGTGATCTTTATTTCAAAATGATAGTCAGAATACAGAGCGAGAACGGCGTCGGCTCAGTAGGGTGCAGGACAACCGCGGACAGCGATGCACGAAGAAACACGTTTAAGCATTGAGTCAAAAAGAGTGCGGATAGTTTCCTGAGGGATGGCTCTCCATTCCCGTTCAACCATTTGCCCCAGTTCGTCTTCTGAACGAAGCAGGGCCAGAGTCTGCAAACGGCGTCCAATAACACCCCACACATGTTCGATTGGTGGCAGGTCAGGAGAGTACGGTGGCCAGGGAAGCATCTGTATACCTTGCAGAGCATGTTGGCAAATGCGAGCACTGTGTGGTCGGGCGTTATCCTGCTGAAAAATTGCATTAGGCAGCCCCTGAAGGTATTGGATTGCCACCGGCCGCAGTACATTATCCAAGTATCATTGGGCCGTCATAGTGCCCTGAATACGAACTAAAGGTGACCTGGAATCGTAGGCAATAGAGCCCCAAACCATTATGCCCCGTTGTGGTGCGGTGGGGCGTTCCACAGTTACTGCCTGATTAGATCTGTCTCCACGTCGACGTCACACACGTACGCGGCGACTGTCACTGGATAAACAGAAGCGTGACACGACGTTTCGCCATTCTGCGATCCATATCGCTCCAGTCCGGCACCATTCTAAACGCTGGCGTCTATGGTCAATGGCAGTCTTCTTAACGGACGCCGTGAGTACAGCCACGTTCAACCAACCGATGGGAAATGGTTCTGGTCGACACGGGATCATCCAGGGTATCTTGCACATGCTGCAGAATCGCAATACAAGTCACTTGCGGGACCGCCACAACTTGTCGGCGGATGCGTCGATCCACGCGTGCTGACGTCACTCTGACTGTACCTGCACCCCTCCTTCTTCCCACATTTCCTTGTTCCAACCATGTTCGCCCTAGCCGATGCACCGTGCTCGCATCCATGTGGGTATCAGCTACGATTTGACGTAAGGACCAACCTGCCCTTCTCAGTCCGATCACCATACCCCTTGTAAAATCGTCTATCTGCTGGAAGTGCCTTCGTTGACGGCGGCCTGCCATTCTTTCCTGTTACACGTATCCTCCGGGATAAAAACCTACTTTCTTCGATAATTCGTCTGGCAGAAAGAACGACACGAATATTGCCCATTCTGTACATTCCTTCCCTTATATCTTACTTCACGTGCGTCGGAGAGCTGCGCATTTCACATCATTCGCATAACTCAGTGACGTGCGTCTACTCTAAAATTTGCATAAATTTCTGACCACTCCTTTTTGGTGTTGCATTTTCAATACCGAGCAGTGTATAAACGTTCATTTTACTTGCTCTCACATGGCGCTGTCATTACATCTGCTACTTATTTACAATTTTCATATTGTTCTATGTCTTAAAATTAGAAATCTAAGTTAATGACCTATAATAGTATATTACAGTACAAGTGAAAAAATTGACAGTTTCACTCACGCATGTGTCGGATTTGTCCAGTGCTTATGGGATCCCACAAAAGTTTCGTAAATATTATGGGGTTCTGGGGTCTCGAAAAAAATCTCAGTAATAAAAGGAGTCGTGACTGAAAATTGTTTAAGAACTCCTGCTCTAAAACTTATACTTCCAATTAGAAAAATGTTTCAAATAAGGCAGATAATCTCGTTTGGGCATTTGTATTTGATTTTTAAAAAATTACGAAGCGTTGCTTTTTATGTTCTCCCTAGTCGTTATGAGTAAATTTTATAGTCGTTATAAAAAATAAAATACAAAACGTTTGACTCCTGAAGGACAGAAAATTAACCAATGTACTTAATTTTAAATTTGGAGATCATATTCGGGGCAATACTCGAATTGAAGAGGGAAATGTTTGCATTTATACGTAACTAAAAATAATATCAATTTAAAAAGAGGTTTCTGATGTAAAAGAGTAAGTGACGAGAACTTTCATGCATATTATCGTAAAAAGTATTCATCAATATAATTTCCTTTTTCAAAAAAGGAGTTTTATTCGCAGAGTCGTGTAAAACTAGCATTCTAGAATACAATGGAAGGCTTCAATTTTGGCACATTACTTAACGTTTTGGCATTTTGTAACATTACATTAAAAATTTAAAATATTTCTAGTTTAAACCTTTCGCGTGGTATAATTATTCTAAGTAATAACAATCCATGAGAATATTAATAATTTATTTTAGGGTTCAATTATTTATAAATTCGTTTTGGCATAAGAGTGTAAATAAAATTATGAATTAAAGAATGTTACACACTGGTAAAAATCACAAAAGTAGAAACACTGAATGTCATTTAAGAGGAGGGGAATCAACCTCGAATTATTATAAGTTATTTATTAATTCACTTCTCAGTGCGTGTTGGAAAATACTTTAAATATTCCCGAATTTGAAATTAAATATCTCGGTCAATTTTTATCGTATAGGAATCAAACATTGTGTGCTTATTATTTAATAATGAGTGTAAACATTCATACGTGTAGAGACCAGAAGATTGTATAAGGAGTTACAGTTTATCATTTTTATAAAACTGGTTTTGATTTAAATTTGAAAATACCAGAAGATGAATATTTGCGTCATTTGAAACATTTTTATTTCTTTAAGTATATGTCTACCGCCAGTGGTTGCGAAAATAAGACCGAGTAAGGAATTTTGTGAACTCAAAGTATATGAACATTTTCATCCTTGTATGTTTTTCATCAAACGTAATTTAGCATGCGTGAAGAGAAAAGGTCACGATATGGGTAGAAAATGAATCAAAAATTGTATTAATAATTATTTGTGATGGTTTAAATGAAAAGAATAATTTCATTGAAATACATTCAAATACTCAACTTGAAAAAGTCTTGGATTTTATTTGTATCGTTTCAACAATGTCTGGCCGACAAATGCTCAGACATTATGAAATATACTACAGTGGTGGCCAAAATTGTGGACACTTTTGGAAATTTTTATGTTTGTGAACTTTGTATGCTTATAGAAAATGTTACGTTTCACAAAATGCAAACTTGTATATATCATTTTAAAGAGAATTTAATACTGAATTCAATACAAAACACAAAAAACTCAATTATTTGCAATACAAAAAACGTTAAACGATAATAGTTAACGATATACATTAGATAGTGATGATTGCAGTGAGTTATCAGTACTTGTTAGGGTACCCTTTATTTTTGATTACAGCTTCACATCGACGTTTCATTGAGCTGACAAGAATTTTAAGCTTTCTTACATGATGCCAGAAAAAAATTATAGCCTCAATTAGTTCCCTTTTATTTGATGGGCGCCTCATTCGGACAAGAGTTTTTCAAACGGT